CCCCGGCCAGCAGTTTATAAACAGTTGAAATGTGGTGTAAACATAGGTCCAACGTGGCAAAAAATTTGGCAGATGTTTTCTGTTGTTTTTAGATACCACCTGCTGGCTAGACTGTCTAAGACATGCAGATTTGATTCACTATTATCGAAAACGCGCAGAAAACAAGTTCATCAAGCTGGAGGACCTGAGATACTTGTTTACGCATAGCTAGTGGAGGAGATGCCAGGTCGGACGATTACGGGGGTGAGTGTGAGGAGGCAATTAGTGAACGAGGGCTTCACGATTACAGTCTTACTTAGAGCTCACATAGACGACATCCTAACAGAGCAGGAGAGTTTTCTGCAAGCCAGGGAATTTATCCGAGAATATAGACCGGGAGTTCTCAAATGTGTCACGTTTCAGACCAAGATAACGTATGAAGTGATGGTGTGGTCAGCAGGGTACTTGCGGGCAGAATTGTTCTTCGATGAGACTGTAGCGGAAGCCAGAAGTAGAGTATGATTACTCTGTCATGACGGAGCACGAGCAGCAACTGTGTCGATATAGACCTCGAACCTCGTACTCACTTCGGTGGAACCACAGAGGATCCGAGTCCTGGAGGAGCGTGAGTGAGAGGAACCCCCGAGTAGCTATTCGGAGAATTGAGACAAGGAGTCCCTCTCCTCGGCTACGCCTTCCCTACGCTCGGGTTGTCTCTAGGCAACTAGCGTGTGACAGCGAGACCTTACAAATTCTCTTAAAGGTGAGCGTAGAAGTAGAACTGTCAGACAGCGAGTTCAAAGAACTTGCGGAAGATGTCGTACGAGAGCAGAGACCTGGTGCCTTGAGGGAATTGACGACGCAGAGTTGGATAGTATATGAGTTGATTGTGTGTGTTAAATGAAGAGTATGCTTGGAGATAATTCAGGATGAGATACCCTCGGAAGCTAGAAGCAATATGTGATAGGAAGTTCATGAGAATAAGAAAGACGGATCGTGAAAGATGGAAGACCTAGAAGGAAGAGAAAAGAGAATAAAGGAGCGTATTGTTAAACGAATCGCTGAGCGCGTCAAAGAAGTTAGTATCAAGATTCAAGACTGCGGGCCTAACAAGGAAAAGAGTGAGCTGCGTAAAATAGAGGGTGCAACGAAGGCCTTGAGAAGACTTCTTATAAAGGACAGAGACTTCTTTAGGAGGTGGAGGTTAGAATTTCTAGAGAGTGTCAAGAGGAGAAGTCTAGGGGACGAAGGGTCGCTGGAGTTGACGGGAAGGAAAGAGGAGTAGATAGAGACTGCAACGTCAGGTGAAAAGAAGGACGTTGCTGAGGGCGAAGAAAAATGAGAAGGAAGGATGAGTAGCGAAAGGTGTTCTATGCGAGTTATAGGAAAGTTGGAAGGACCAACAGCTCGTGCTAGAATATAGTTAGAGCAACTAGAGAGGCTTACCGTGATTGAAAAAGCAGAGAACACTAGAGAAGCAGTTCAGAAGGCGCGAGTAACTGGGCTCTAGGTAGAAGAGGGAAGTGCACCGCTAATCTACTATTCGCTGCACTTGTTCCCCTACGATGGAGTGACCCTGAGTAGAGAGTGGCGCGAGTCTCCTAAGAAAGCAGAGAGACTCCTGAAGAGTGAAGCTGAAGTATCGGAAGACTTTGCTACGGTCATAACTGGGAGTTCTGTTTTAAGGATTTACAAAGCACACGACCAGTACCAGAGTGAGTTTCTCTGGACCTTAGCCGTGATTGAAGACTGTGGGGATATAGACGATTTTGAGACGTTCTATCAACTTTTGGAGGAATCGACGGACAGAATCTTGTTGGCCTTAGCCCTAATAGAGGCAGAATGTTAGACACTTCATGGAGATTGTAAGAGATGTCACTATCTAAAGCGGAACTAACAAGGAAAATGTGGAAATTCGGAGGTTGGAGTGGCCCTAGTGGATCTGAGCACGAGAGAGTGCTTAAGGAATTGAGCGCGATTGGAAGGCGAGAAGTGTTTCCGTACGAGGTAATTAAGTACCAAGTGCAGAACAGTGGGATTGAACGCAATCAATACTATACTATGACCGTCTGGTTTCAAGACTTAGAGGTATATCACGTTGGTATATATCTGCCTAAAGAGAGAGAAGAATTTTGCATATACGAAAGGACTTGGAGGAGAGTTGCGTGGGCATTGAGATAAGAGGAAAAGAGGTTAGAAAGTTTGGGAAAGATTGTGGAGGTCTGCGATGACATCACTATTTTTGACGGTCTACCCAGGCCGCCTGTTCCATATCGAGGGCTAGAGCGAAACAAATGGGAGGCTGTAGTTGGATTCGCTCGGACAGTCAAGACTGACGGCAAACTCAAAAATACCATTAAGGATGAATAGGATGCGCGGATGAGTGAAGATACGACCATCCCTGAGCGAGAGCTGGAGGCTAGGAGAGAAAGGTTTTTTGCGAGCAACAGACCTTCGGACACGGAGTTAGCAAAAGTTAGCGATCAGTTGAGTTCTTTGGGGCGAAAGGAAGTGGTTCCGTACGAAGTAGTGGCTTACGAGTTAGTGGACAGCGGATGGGAGCAGATACGTCTTTACATTATCACCGTTCGGTTCTTTGTCGTGGAGGTGTATGATGTTAGGCTTTACCTCCCAGTTGAGCGAGAACGTGATTTGGTTTACGGTCAATGTTGAGAGCGTGCGGAAGAAGTCGTTGAGAATGAGCGAGATAAGCTCCTGGCGCTAGGTAAGGAAGTAATCTGGGACACCCGGATTACGCTCTTTCAGGGGTTACCCAGACCTCCTGTACCGCGTCAGGTGATTCGAGGGAGAAGCAATGCAGCAGTGGTTGGCTTAGCGCTTCGATACTTTAAGTTTGATGGTCGTAGGGGGTGATTACCCGCGGGTAGGAACTCGCGTTGTGCATCATGGGTTAAGCGATCTAGCGCGAAGAGCGTCTGTTGATATACGGGAGTACCTGAGATCTTGTACTCGAGAAGAGTTGATGAGGATCGCGACAGGGATTTATACGAGAGTAAGGTATCAGAGTCCGGAGTTATAGAGATTAGGAGAGGTGTTCGTTGTATAGAAGAGCAGGAGGGAGAACTTTATTTTGACTCAGGGATTTTAGGTATCGAGGGTGAGCACGAGATACGAGACGAGGCTGGGAGACTTGTTGCGATCCTGAGAGCGGTCGTAGACGAGTGATTGTTTTTCTTTCACAGGTCCGGGCTGCGGATACTTTCATAGGTCCAGGTTGCGAACTCTTTCATAGGTCCGGGCTGCGGATTCATTCATAGGTCCAGGGTGTCGGTGCTGACCTGGCAAATCAGGAAGGGGAAAGTATATGGAATCTGATACAATGGGGCCGCATCCGGACGAGGAACAGGCGGTGTATCGAGCGTCTCCGGATCGGGCCCTGCGAGACCTCAAGGAGCGTCTTCGACAGAATGCCCCTCTGAGGTGTAAAGAGCAGCCGGACGACGGCGAATCCGAGGTAATGGCACCTCTTGCTTTTACAGACCCCAACAGGGCTGCGCCGGTAGAGCGACCGGACATACAGACAGAGCCTCCAAGTTTTCGGCGCGAATCGTTTATTCAACGCCCATCTATGTACGAGCGTAGAGAAGATAGAGGTTATCTAGGAGGGGAAGACTGGAGGGATCAATTTATTAGAGAGCAGCTCTGGAGAGACAGAGAGAGAGCTGCCATGGTCAGACGGGTTTTTGATCCTGAGACGGGGGAGTCGCACCCTCTGCCATATGAGGCGAGGAACAGAGTCATCATCTCGCATCAGCCCTCAGAATTAGATTCCAGGCCCCCCGTTTTCTTGGGATGCGGTATCACAGAATACCTTGAGAAGAGAGAGTTGCATGGCTATCGGAGTCAGTGGACTGAGGGCGAGATTATAGATAACTTCTTGTTTAACGCCGACCCAAGTCTGAGACGAGTTATAAAGGAAGCCCGACCTAGGGACAGGAGGTGGGCTACATATAAGATCAACCTTTACGAGCTTTTCACGTTAGAAGACGTCAAGTACTCGATCCAGGATTTGAGGGCATTGACACCGAGAGAGGGCGAGAGTGTCCAAGCATTTGGCATGCGTTTTCAGAAGGTATCCGATGCCCTCATGACAAGAGGGAAGTTATCGGAAGTAGAGAGATGCACGATCTTTCTCAGCAAACTGCCAAGGGGGAAGCGAAAGGCGATACTGAGGGAGACGCCTCATGATTAGTTGGAATTCACCACGTTACTTAAGCTCGCCATGAAAGCGGAAGCCGATGACTATAAGGATTTGCTCTGGAGAGGCATGCAGCGAGAGGATTATTCCTTTTATAAGGAGTATGGAACGGATAGATGCCCCGATTTCAACGATAAACCTTGGGCAGAACGATGATATTTGATGGACTGGGACAAATCCCATCGGCCAGGGGATAACGAAGCAGTAATAGAGGAGATGCAAGAGAAGATGAAGGAGATGGTCAGGCAAATAGCAAATTTCGAAAAAAAGGTCGGAACTACGTACCGGGACAAGCCTGGATCCCCCTACTCTCTGCGATGGGATCGTCGGAATACCGACCCGTGGAGAAGCGTCGAAGACCGTAACCCTCGCACGTTAGCTGATTATTGCACGAGGGAAAGAGATGAAGATGAGCGTAGACGTAGGGGCGAGGAGGATCGAAGGCGCAGAGAAGAAGACGATCGAAGACGTAGAGAGGACGAAGAGCGGAGGCGCAGGGATGATAATATCGACAGAGACCACCGACGTGATGGGTATAGAGGTGGAGATTCTTACGGTCGAGGAGACAGAGCCGAGCAGTATCCGCGCAGTCCCAGAGACCAGTACCCGCGCAGTCCCAGATACGGTGGGAATGCCGAAGGGTACCGGAGCCCGGGCAACTTTAACTCGAGGGATAGAGAGGACTCCCGCGGTCGGTGGGAATCAGATAGGGACATTGAAGCAATTACGAGCGGACAGAGAGAGGTGGCGATCGTAGAGAAGAGCCGCGCGGATAGTATGAGAGAGGAGGATATCCTGCGTCGCCATCCCAAGTCCCCAAACTACCCTAGATCTCCTGGGCCATCTAACCTGGATGCGAGACGACCGGCGATTAAGTCGGCGGAGGAACAACCCCCAACCTCTAGGAACTCCTGTATCTATTGCCGGGGGGATGATCACCTCAAGAGAGACTGCCCTGACCTCAAACGGGCAATAGATGAGGGGCTTGTCGTACTTGATGATCGCAAGTACGTCAAGTGGGCAGATAACCTCGGCGATGTATCAATGTTTCCTTCAATGAAGGAAAATGTGGAAGCTAGACGAGTAGTACCGAACAAGGGTAAAGGGGTTGCAAGAACCCGAAGCGTGAGACTGAGTCTGTCTTCTGATGAGGAGAGTCCTATGACACCCATACGGGGTGGCAGCGACTAAGTCCGCCAGGGCTTCCTCCTCTAAGAAGGCTGACACTAATTACGTAATGGCAGAGAAGGTTGGACAGAGGATTGAAGGAGAAGAAGTTATACTTTCCCCGCGCAAACGTGGGGCGAGAAAGTTCGCGATGAAGAGTACTCTGGATGACATAGACACTGTCGAACCTCTTAGACGCGCTCTCAGGCAGCCTATGCAGTGCACGATTCTAGAATACTTGGCGGCCCCGAGGCCAGCACGGGATGAATTGCAGATGATTACGCGTAAGACACGTATTCCTCTGAGCGACGAGGTCCAAATGACGTCTAAACAGAGGGAGATACCCACTGTTGCAGTATCAAGCGTGATCGCTAAGGCGGATCGTGCCGCAACAGTATTTTTAGATGGGATAGAAGGAGTGTCTCCTGACAAGTTTTGCATTCTAGTCAATGGAACAATACAGACTACCCTCAACGACGAGGTGATCCTTCATGCCGTAATCGATAACGGCAGCGAGGCTGTCATTATAGACGAGGGCCTAGCGGTCCGATTGGGGTTAGACCTGGATAGGTCGTACCAATTTGAGATAGAGACCGCTGATGGGAGGAAGCAGAAGGTCGCTGGAGTTTGTCACAAGGCAGCAATTGAGGTCGAAGGACTGAGAGTGATGATGCATGTTTTCGCAGTTCGGGATTGCAGCGCAGAGCTATTATTGGGACGGACATGGCTAAGTCACGTCCATGCTGTTACTATAGAACGGCCGGATGGAAGTCAGATGCTTTCCATCAAGCGTCCAGACGGTGGGCGGATCATGATGGAGACGGTAGAGGCTCGGAATCCGAGGAATAGAGCGGTTCTCGCCGCAGGGGACCGTGACCAGTTCCCCTTGCGAGTCGATTCATAAGCTTTCGTGAAAAGAAGTATGGGCCTCTGCTTACAGAAGAAGAAGGTCAGATAGTCGAAGTCGAGGATTTAGGGACTCGGGTACGTGTAGGAAGGAACGCCTATCCTAAGGCAGAAGATGAGGAATTCGGAGGGATGATATCTGTGTCTTTTTTAAGGGCACAGCCCCCTACGGCGGGCGACCAAAGAGACACAAGACAGTAGCTCAGAAGGTTAAGCCGGCGGCTGTAGCACGAGAGCGATCCGCGTTGGATGGAGTATCTGAAGAAGAGATCGCTAAAGAGATTAAAGAAAAGAAGAGGAAGGAGCCGCAACGGCTAACAGAAAAGAGGATAGCGGAGATGGACATAGGCGATGAGAATCTAACTGAGCCGGAGAAAAAGCGAGTGTTGGAAGTCCTTAAGTCTTGCGATAAAGCTATAGTATTCAGTGATGCGGAGAGAGGAAGGATTGATCCTAGATATGCTAAGCCGGCAAGGATCTACACGATTCCGCATATGCCATGGAATGACGCAGGGTGGAAGTTTGCTCAGAAAGAGAAGGAAGAGGTGATCTCCTTTCTCAAAGAGAAGATGGCGTCACACGTAGTTGAGCCTTGTGACAACGCTTATGCGAACAGATGGTTCTTCTTAAGGAAGCCTAACGGAAAGATTCAGTGGATTCAAGACCTTCAGAAGGTCAACGCTGTGACAATTCGGGATGTAGGCTCGGTACCGCACGCTGATCTGTTAGCAGAAGGGGCTGCGGGCAGATCCATTTATTCTGTCTGCGATTTATTTTCAGGATATGACGAGATACCACTAGATCCGAGAGATAGGCATCTCACAGCCATGCATACGCCGCTCGGATTAGTGCAGATGAAATGGTTCCAATGGGATGGACCAATGGGGTAGCGGTCTTTTAGAGAGTCATGGTAGCGGTTCTGAAAGACTTTATCCCAGATAAAGTAGAAGTTTTCCTGGACGACTTTCCGATAAAAGGACCAGTGTTGAAAGACGAAACGGAAGTCGCCCCTGGCGTCAGGAGATTTGTCGAGCAACACCTGATGAACATTTACACTGTCCTGGAGCTGTCTCTTATACACATCTAGATGTGTATAAGAGACAGGGATGGACCAATGGGGTAGCGGTCTTTTAGAGAGTCATGGTAGCGGTTCTGAAAGACTTTATCCCAGATAAAGTAGAAGTTTTCCTGGACGACTTTCCGATAAAAGGACCAGTGTTGAAAGACGAAACGGAAGTCGCCCCTGGCGTCAGGAGATTTGTCGAGCAACACCTGATGAACATTTACACTGTCCTGGAGCAGCTAGATGAAGCTAACCTGACGGTTAGCGGGACAAAGAGTCGATGAGCCGTATCGACGATTAAAATTCTAGGGTTTATATGCGACGCGAAAGGCCGACGCCCTGACCCTGGGAAGCTGGAGGAGTTGTTGAATTGGCTGATTCCTTTGCACAGTGCAACTGAAGTTCGCCAGTTTTTAGGGGTTGTTGGTTATTGGCGGATCTTCATACGTGGATATGCGAAAAAGTCGAAGTCTCAGCGCACACTTCTTAGGAAGACTGAGAAGTTCTACTGGGATTCTTCACAAGAGCTAGCATTGTAATCCCTCAAGGAAGAATTTAAGGAAGGCGGCCGAAGTCTAGGTGTGCCATTCTTTGAGGACAAGACGGACAAACCGTTCATAGTATCTACAGATGCTGGGCCATGTTCGGTTGGGGGATTGCTCTCTCAAAAGGACGTTGACGGCAAGGAAAGGCCATTGAGGTTCGAGAGCCGAACACTCAACACTACAGAGCGTAATTACAGTCAGTTTAAGAAGGAAGTGTTGGTTGTTCTACGGTGCTTAGATACCTTTAGGCATTACATATATGGGAGACGATTCGTTCTTAGGGTAGACCCTACAGTTGTAGCTTCAGTCCTACAGAAGGATTTCAGTTTGACGGATCCTACGATCGCACGATGGCTGATCAGGATTCGGCTTTATGATTATACTATAGAAAGGATCTCAGGGGCAAAGAACGCTTTAGCCGACGGACTCTTGCGAATTCCCATCGAGGCAGAGCGGTCGATATCGGTTGCTGCCCTGACTATGACCGGGCCTAGATGGACGGATCGCTTCCTAGTAAATCTTTTTGAAGGCAGTACCGAGCTATAGGACTGCATCTGTCGGGAGAGGAGAGCCCCGATTCGGAGATTCGGAGACAGGCGGCGCAGTATTGCCTTAGAGCTGGACATTTGTTTCGTCGACCTGTGGGAGCAAGGATGCCTCTTCGGGTGATCTGTGATCAAGAGGAGAAACAATCCATAGTAGCCGAGTTGCATGACGGTGTAGTCGGAGGACATAGAGGAGTAAAAGGAACATACGAGAAGGTTCGCAGACTATATTGGTGGGAAGGACAGTACAAGGACGTTGAAAAGTACTGCGAAACTTGTGAGGACTGCCAGAAGAGGTCCCTTATCAGATATAAGGAGTCACTTCATCCTTCATATCCTACTAGACCAGGAGAGAAAATGCACATTGACCTGGTAAAGATGCCGAAGGGTGTAGGGAATATGAACTATGTAGTTAACATCAGGGATGATTTCACTGGCTTCGTCGATGGCAAGCCTATCAGGACAAAGGCAGCAAGAGAAGTTAAGAACTTCGTCCTGGAGTATCTGTCTAGATACGGATGTGTCAGTACGATTGTGATGGATAGAGGAGCAGAGTTCCTAGCAGACGAGGTACAGAGTGTATTCAAGAGAGCGGGAGCTAGAGTGTCTATAGCTACTGCCTATCACCCTCAGTCAAATGCGCCTGTAGAACGGGGCCACCAGTCACTGATAGCGTCCCTATCCAAGTGGTGTAGAGGAAAGGATAGCGACTGGCCGAAGTATTTTCGATATGCGATATGGGCGGATAACGTTACGGTGCGAGCTAGCACTGGGTACCCACCTTACACGCTTTGGTTCGGGAGGCACTGTCCTCTGCCTATAGAATTCCACGTCGATAGTTGGACTATGCTTAATTGGATGGTAACATGACACGGGAAGAATTACTGGCAGCAAGGACTAGACAGATAGCTTACGGACTAGAGGATAACCCCATGACTGCAGCTAATCGACTGGAGGTAGAAAGAGAGAAAAGTAAAGTAAGATGGGATAGAGATGTCAGGATCAGAAAAGAAAAGATCAAGGTCGGTGATATGGTGCTCCTCTATGACGACGCCTTGGAAAGAACATGGACTGGGAAACTAGCTAACAGATGGATGGGACCTTATCGTGTAGTTGGCGCATTGAGCTGGGGAGCCTATATGATTGCTGAGTTAGACGGATCCAAGTGGAAGGATCCGGTGGCAGGAGCTAGACTGAAGTTGTTTAGGTCAAGGGAGACCCCTACTCCTGCGCCGAGACCGTTAGATCCTAAAGGAAAGGGTAAAGCTAAGATAGTGGACGGAGGACCACCAAGACGGTTCGAGGTAGGTGAGAGTTCAAGAAAGAGGAAAAGGGTTGAGACCAGAAAAGTGAAGGGCCTAACACTAGGTAAGAAAAAGAAATGGTTATTTGTTATACAAAGAACTAAGAGAAGAGTCCGCATTAGGAAGGGTGGCACATCTGTTACACGAGCGCCCCTACAAAGAAAGAAGCGGAAGAATATTCCTACAACGAGATTCAAACGGCGGCGATATAAGAGAGGGAAGAAGCACCCTCTCAGCCCCAGAGTTCCAGAGAAACCCAGACGCCAAGCAGACGAGAGGAAGCACTTCCGTCGAGCGCGGGTAGTCCACTTAGACCTGGTACGTTTCGTCTAATCTTGGCGGAGCAGGCTCGACGGGGGCGTCGAGAGGAGGTCCGGACTTGTTTGTCGGACGACCGGAAGACAGTCGGTCACCCTAATACCGGGAGATTGACCCGTAGAAAAATTGTCTAAGAAGAAATTCGCCGGGAGTCTTGTCCGACCAGCTGAGGGAAATTAGGGGTAGTCAGGTCACCCCTAATTTCGGATGTGTCAACCATCAAGACTAGCCCTCGAAATTGACGAGAGGGGCTACCGCTTCGTCGCCCTGACGGCTACCCTATAGTCAACCTTTTTTCCATCCGCTCTAGGCCTGTTCTTGAAACGACTGGCCTCGGGACGGTGTATTGAGGGTGGGCTTTGGCAAGGCCTTTTTACGGTGCCCAACGGACGCGAGGAAGGGGGCCCTACATTTAATTAAATTTAATATTAAAATTAAAAATGGGAAGAAGAGGATTAAAAACCCAAGAAAAGAGGAGAAAAACGAACTATTCATTGATTTATTTAAAATCTTCGATATTTAATTTTTAATGTGTTCGACCTCATTTATTGATGTTTTTGACCATGAAAATTAAAAACGTGAAAAATAATCAAAAGTAATAAAAAAAAAAAAAGGAACAAAGAATTTTCATTATTTAATTGGGTTTCGTCGAAATTTATTTTCAACAGGAATTGCTCTTATTTTTATTATTTTCGATAATCGAATTAAGAAATAAGATAAAGAAATAAGATGATAAGAAGGAAGAAAGAAGCTATGCTTATCGGGAGATCGCCGTAATTTTACTCCATTTATCCGCGATCGGAATTATCCCCCGATTATTCATTTACGCTAATTCTGACAATTTCCACTATTTTGCGATGATCCGGATTTGCACACATGTCCTGCCTGATTTCCCTGATTTCTGACCTTACCGTAACCTGTGTACTATGAGTGCGGGATGGACGGACGTGGGGTGTTACCTATATGTTACTTAATTGTGCCGCAGGGGTCTTTTGCGTCAGTGAGATCACCGTTTTCAGTTTGGTATATATGGTTTCGGGTAGGTTCGGAACTATCGCCACGGGGCAGCACGGGTTCGACGTCGACATTTTCAGGTTCGGTATCACTTTGGCATCGCGGTGGTACTCGCCACTTTATTTTTCAGGTTCGGTCTTGATCTGACATGCATATGGAACTGCTTACGGGTACTCGCTTACGCGAGTGGGATAGGTTCGGTCAGATCACAGCGAGGCTGCGCAGGCTCGGCCTCGATATGGTACGGCAGCTTGGTACATGTTTTCAGGTTCGGTACTGG